ATTGGTAGCGATGGAGACCACTGAAATGTATTTCATAGACAGGCCAGATAAATTCAGCGATTGGCGGTATGGACGAATTCGGCAAGGACTTTTATCACGAATCGCAATATGTATTTTATAGGCGCCGTAAATCGACGAACGTGGGTTTTTAACGTTTGCCTACTAGCGCTCTGCTGACTTTTACGAGATTCGTCCCCAGAAAATTTTATGATCATGAATCTTCTAACCCGATTTATTTTTTCAATCGATATGCATAGGTAATTTTGTCTTCAACTATTCATAACTGGGGCGTCAAACTTTTAATAACACTCGTTCTAAAGTTGTTTCCCCCATTTATAGTTTGAAAACCTGTACAAGGACGAACTCGATCGATACTGTATTGTCAACAGAGACAATTTTATTAACTTTTAGATAATCATTCTTTAACATAAGGTACATTAATTTGTTATAAATTAAAACTTGTTGCAAACCAAATCAAAAAGTTTCAAACTCTTCAAAAACATTTTTGATTTCCCTACTAGACAAACATTCTTAGTTGTGCAGGCGATTATTCCAAACACGTTCCAAAAGGTGTATTTTTAAAGAAGGCTTCACAGTGGCCGATATTAGGGATGCCGCGACCGCTCCACCTCCCGAAACTTTCTCGTTCGTGCACCTTTTGATATTCAATATACTGCGGGTCCTAAGCAATCCTTTGATGAGATGTTTTATGCAAAAAACGTTGGGCGTTAGCGGGGCGCGAATAACCGTTCAAAAGTGAACACATTAGTATTCCCAATCTCGTCCGGAACCGCGGCCTCCCTCCAGTTTTGGGGGAATAAAAAATCAATGTTTATTCCCGTCGAACGCGATTCGAATGCTAATTATAGGTATAACTAATTGCTTTGTGTTTGTGTGAAGGCGCGATCGTTTTATAAATGGTTCTCAAATGCGGTGCGACGAATCCAGATTGAATTTTTCCCTTGTCTGGAATGTTTTCGTAATGGAATAATTAATGTATTTTCAATTCTATTGGACCTTCGTTCACGTAAAGGACGCGAGGAAAAGATTAATAAAAAAATATTTGGTTATACCTACGATATAGAAGTAATTTAAAGAATTTCCCTCTATTACCGACATGAAATCAAAATTGAACTATAGCATGAGTTCGGAACCGAGCTACGAAGGCAAGGTGTTGCGAACTATAAATTACTTCGGAAATTCCGTTCCGGCATATCGTACCGCAACTCGGCAATAAATATTGTTCATTTTCGTCCTGTGGGCAATGCACGTCGATGAAGCACGGAGCTATGCCACGTTGGGGATACCCCGTTCCGTCCACGCTGGTACACTAACTCCTCACGATTGCCGCCATTCCGGCAACTTGCTCTACATAAACCCCGCCCGGCTTGTCCGCCATACCTCACCTACACCTTAACATATCATTTTGCATGGACCGCATTTCATGTTTATGGCAAAACTTGGACTTCATGCACTTAGGCAAATGGGTTTCCGATACTTATAAGAGCAATATACGCTCCGTATCGCAACATTTTATGCAAGGTAACTTATTTTAGAATTATTACTTACTAAAAGGGTAAAAAAAGCCGTTTAGACAATATTTATTACTTTGTTCGGCAATCACTTCATTCATAATAAATATTAAGAATTTATTCGTGTACGTATAAAAAGATAAAATTTGTTAGTCAGATGCAGGTTTTTAAATAGGTAGAAATATAAGTTCATAATAAAAACGTGTATTATAGTGGTAGTCCAGGAAATGGTCATGAATTTATTTCAGTTTTTAACATGAAGAGTGGTTCAAAACTAAAATGTAGTCGCTCTTCATACAAAACTACATACCCACATATGTCCCAAAATATCAAAGGATTTAGCGTTTGTGATTCTGAGCTTACATAATTACGCCATCAAATTGCTGTGACGTTTCCCGCGGTGGTTCGGCAGTTAAGCCTTCTGTGAATTTTAAATCGTTTTTAATAGCAGTCCCGAACATAGCACGCGCACTCACAGCTGACCCTTACTTTACAATTTGATTTCCCATACAGAGGTACACATATTCATCGCATCAAAGTTTCTATCATAGCTTTAAAAATAGGCAAGAAACATTATTTTGTTTTTACAACAAACGCGCCGTAATTATGTTTCGAGTCGGTTGTTAACAGAGTCTGTATTCATGCGATACGTTAACATTAATATGTTCGTTTGTTTACAAAGGCGCCCTTGATACTAAAGAGTGGTGGCGTCGACGTCTAACTCGGTGAATTTAATTAACTTCGTTAACTTCTAAATACTCTTAACGTCTTTGATACCTCCGTTCCCTTTCATTGACAAACACGATCCCAGGGCCTGTACACGACAGTCGCTGTCAAACTTTTATCAACCTCGGCGGGGCGTTCAAAAGTTGTCTGGCAACAGTGATTTAGGCGTGATAAAACAAATGGAATGAGGCGAGACGTGGGGCCCGCATTGCGGGAGCATCATACGCTCATTTCTCATTGTCTGCTAGCACCTCGAGCGCCGCTACAACTTTCTGCCAGTGCAGTTTAATGCATATTATAACGCGGTAAGTACTCAAAATGGAGTAAGCGCTGAGGCAATATCGCGCGGTAGACGCGAGCGCACGACCGCTCTCTTTATTGAAAGAGTAAACTGTCCTTTTTCACGGGACGCCTCGGGCTCTTTGTGACGGAATTTCAAGCAACTTATTTTGCACTCGAGTGTAAATAATAGTGAACTAAGAGCGCTTCGGATTTTCGGACGCTACCCTTTCCTCTGTGGTTTTGAATATACAGCCATGTATATTGTGCAACTGTGCAACCCACCACTGCATAAAACTAATGCGTCGTAGTCTCTTTGTTTTCCAAAATGTTCGCATTACTAATAGTGTTCGGGGAAACGGTCTTAGTTAGTCTCTGAGTACTGGCACAAAGTTATATTGTGTAGATTAAGTTAGAGTAATTATTACAGTACGTGGTTATGGTAAGGCTGGGTGCGTCAAAGGTAACGTTTAAACAATTTAATATTCTACACACAAGCATTTCAAACGCCAACTCAAACGAAGCTTCTCTTTTCGTAAAAGTTGTTCCGTAAACGAACCCCCCCTTCGTTAGATATCTACGTGAGCTTAATCCACTCGGCAGGGTGATTCAGTTGAGAACGATTTTCGAGAAAATTGGTGAAAATTGTAACAACATGGGCGAAAATTACCACTTGGAGGCGTTGTTTAGAGAACGGCGGTGGCGGGCCGAATTTATGTGGCAATGGAAATGTGACGTTGACTCTCTGTGGTCTACGCCGAACCGCGCACACATACCGTCGCGTCGGCTACGACGTAGCACTTGCTACGAAAATGCGGACGGAATAAACGTCGAGATACATTTTCGTGAGTGCGTAATGCCTATTACAATCTTAATTGTTGCCTGTTGTTGTTGAAAACGAAGTGATAAGAGTTTGAACAGCTTCCAAAACGGGTAAGGCTGCTGGTGATGGCATTTACTTTAGGGCCTCATTGTTGTTTTTGAACAAACCGACCAACCGTTCACCTGTGCTATAGATATTTTGATTGTAGCTCAGGGATTTACAAGCTTTAGTGCGGGCTTTTTAGGAGTCAATAAAATTGAAGTACCAAAAGCGCTTAAACTACAAAGCTTCATACGCCATTTTGCTACAAACAATGAACGTATAATCGGTTTTTCATGTTTTGAACTAAATCCCCTGTTTCATGGTATGAAGGGTGCACAGCTATGGCATCCAGACGTCCGTCCAGCCGTCATGGATGCGACGAATTATGGCCTTTGTGCCACTTTCACTCGCTACCACTTTTTAATTTCCCAGTGGAAGGCATTTTTAATTCGTGAGCTTTTATGAAATTTTATGTCCTGGCGTATCCGTGCACTGATTGTTCCGAGCGTTGCTTTGCGCTTCGGAATTCGCTAATTGTTTCAAGCATTGGTCGTCTGTGTGTCTAATGTTTTATTTTTTAGATCCATAAAAATGCCATTACTCTTTGTTAACAAAGGAATGGAATATGCTGGGATATAAGCACCCATGTATTTTTAGCTATCAGGTTTTTCCATTAGGATGAGTAGAATTTGCATATTATGGATGTTTTATGGGTTCACGTGAAGATTTTACGTAGCGTGTGGCCCTTGGGTATGAATTGGTTCCCTAATCTTTTCACGCGATGAATAGTGACTAAAAGATTAAAATATTTGGTAAAGCCGAGTCTATCTAGTCCGAACTATCTACGAAAATAGAGGTGAGACCAAAGTAGATTTGAGTGAAAAACTTTTACAATAATATTTATCTTGGACAATGAGGGTTCTTTCTGTATGCGTTAGATTAACTTTCTTTTTTATACACAATCTTTAGTTGATTTAATATAAATCGATACCTAACATAGACATAAACAATTATTGTGACAGATTATATAATTTTACAATAATCGTTAATAGGGTAGATGCCTAATTTTTATTTTAATGTCCGTCTCGTAGATTATTTTAAATCAATAGACACGTATTTTTTATTTTCTAACAGAAACGAATACTTTCGACGATATATTGATTTGAAATGTCGCGTGACGTCACCTCTATGTACAATTTATACGTAGAAATGACGTTTTAGCCACCACTCCTAGACTTTGATTCGTTTTATCCCAGTATTATTCGAAATGTATTTTTTTATTTTATTATACACCTAAATAAAAACATACGTGCCTAATATTTTTTCATTACCAACTTAAGGACTAAATAGATTTTTAATTTTCATACCCTATCATAATTCCAATTGCAATATCAGGTGCTATCAATTTTTAAATGCCGAAATTCAAAATCGTATCCTTATTTTACGCCCTCAATTAAATAGGGATAAGAATAGATAAAAGAAGAACAAGAATCATTATATTTCAATGCAGTTACACATTGAACAGTTTCAAGCAAATTTAAGTCTCATATTCTTAAAAATTACGTGCAATTTCCAATAACAATACTAGGTTTACTTACTTGTGCCAGCGTAGTAGACGGTGTACTCCAGCGGATGTCCCATCATGTCAACTTTAACTTTATCGACTACTAGTCTTGTGAAAAAGAGATCTCGTTTGTAGTATATCGGCTTTTCGTTCTCGTGGGAGACTGCGCTGTCCATTAGTGGGTGCGATCTGTATGAGAAAAGAATTCAGTTTATTTTTAAGAATCAAATAATATATACACGTTTGTAGAGGTCGAGAAAGATTATGCTATCATAATATTACCAGGCGAGAACCAAAGAGAAGAATTAAACAAACTCGTGAATTTAGAGCAACCTTATAATACCTTTGCTATTTTTTGTGATACTATGTCAAATAAGATTTCTCAAAAATATTAAATTCAATATTAAGACCTTTTTAGATGTACTAATTAAATTGTGAAAAATTTATATATTCATAATTAGTTTAGCACAAAAATGCCCAGTCTGCCGAATTAGATAAGTTCTTACTAAGTCCAAAATTCTAATTCATAACTGAAATAGAGTAACTTTAATATGAATCATTGTTTCTTTTGTTACTGATTGTCCAATTGTGCTAAGTTTTAAGGTGACTTTGTCTATATTTAATTCACCGATCGAAATACGTGGACTTTTCTATGAAACAACAAGTTGTAAAACTTATGCATGACTTTCAAAGTCATAATCGACAACAATATTTACTGATGACAACGAAGTGGCATCGTCCATAATAAATTCATTTGAAAATTATTTATTCGCAAACAATGCAAGGTGTAAAGGTGTCTAATAAAGGAAAAGTCATTGGAGCGTAAAAGCGGAAACATTACAAGCATGTTGATAACAATAAGGTTGCGACGCCGGCGACAATCGCGCGCGACGATAATGTCGCCAGCACGAATGTCGTACAATGCAGACTGCTTCGACGCCAACAACAAAATACCATTCATTTAATTAAAACCTCTACTCGTTATGAATAAAAAATTTTATACTATTTTCAGCAGACTGGTTCAGGTGAAGTGTTAAAATCTCAACGTTTCCACATGAGGATCATGGAAAAGCGGGAAAAAAAATAATTGAACGCTCTCGGGGTGAGAGCGTCGGATAATTAACAGGACGTGTCGCCAGATAAAAGTGCCTGTGGATTTCAATGAGCGTGGAATTCTGGAATCGCTAGAGACCTCGTCGGCGACAGGATCGTGTTTCGCGTTTTTAAGTGACGATTTTCTACTTTGTTTACGTCCGGCGCGCTTGTTACAATAACGACAGTCTCGCCTTTTGTTCTTTTTACGTATCCGGCTGCTCGGCCGTTTTAAAAATAAATTAATTCTCTGTTTCGTTCGGGACTTTTTTTAATGAATAAATTGAACAATGCGTCGTAAATTCCGATAATCTGTGAGAGTGTGAGAAGTGAAGTTTATTTTGTTTTCCAATTTGCAAATAAACAAATTCATATACGAAAAACAGTAAAAAATAGTCAATAGGTTATTTAAAAGATTTACTAAATGGAAAGCTTTTTAATTCCTAAATATCAATATGTGCACAGAGAAAAGAAAAACAACTGACCTTATAAAATTGAGCACGGTGTCAGGCAAAGAAGCGGTATCATTAACACATGTTCCAGGTCTTGGTTCAGGAACCTTACTGCTGATAACTGGAAGCCACGCAGAGCTGGAAGATGCTTGTTCTTTGAATTTTCCTTCGAATGCTTTCTGAATATCTCCGATTGTAAAGGTGCAGATGGCTGATCCCATGAGACCGGTGGAGGCAGTCGTGAAGACGCCATAGAACCGACTGTCGTCTCCAGGTACTTTGTAGATGCTTTCTGTTGGAATAAAATATTGCTTGTGTTATAAAGGCGAGCAAAATATTGCTTGAGATTTTTCACACTATACAAAATGTAGGTAATTGCTAGAAATAAAGAACAATAGCCTTTCGTAACCTAAAATTAAAAACATAACACGGCCTTCACAAGTCTGTATTGATTTTAATTTTAAGATTCAAGTTAATGTCAAGTATTTACAATGTTTTATACATGGATATTAAATGCTTAATCTATATAAAATTTTTACTCTCTAAGAAAGTACAATATCTTGGAAATATTGGTAGTCAATAGCAACCAACACATGATCGAAATAGTTCATGTATACCACGCTAAAGGAGTTCCCTCTAGTTTATATTTACTCCTATGGGAAAAAGCAAATGGATGGCTGTACATGTAGAATTTGCTCCGTAGTTTTATGTAAACGCGCTGCGGTAGAATTTGGTTTCATTCGTGCATAGATTATGCAGTATTGCGCACGATTCCCATATATTTTCATCAAGAATATGTTTAGCAATACTGAATTCTATTAACTATATTATTGCAATTTATTTAATAAATGAGTTTTAACAACCATTTCAAGTGTCAATGTGGACAATATACGCAATAGTTTTAATTAAAATGTTCACATTGTATATTCACATTACTTTGAATTAGTTGAATAAATATTCAATAAACCATCAAAATTAAATACCCAAAGTAAATTTAATAAAGTAGACTAGATAAGTTTCACTGGAATAAAATTGTTTTTATCTACATACTAGATTAAACATTTGGGAGAAAAGTTTTTAATTTCAAAGTTTTATTTTATTAAAGCTCTATCTAGTCAGGTGTAAAATATCAAAGAGATTGTAGAAGTAATTTAAATTTAAATTGATTCTCTAACTATTGGACAACTGAAGCTAAAATTTATCAAGCGGCGTCGTGATGCCTAATCTGTTCTTGGTTGTTGAAACTTAGTTTACTATCAAATTGTTATAATTGTGGGCTCTCAACGTAATATCTCTGGTAAAGTTGCAATAGTTTGGCTACTGGCTGATGCTATTATTAATAGCTTGCGTTTGCACTGCAAGTTCGCTAACTCGATGTAAGTGCGTTGGTACTGTTAGTACTGATATCTTTAGTCTTAAGGATTTGCATTTAAAGAACACAACATTCTGTCGTTTTGTTCAAAATTGATTGATATAATTTCTAACATATTTGGGATTTCTATGACAAAATGAGTTCCAATTTTATTATTATTTGTTTAGTAATGTAATAAACTAGTGCAAGCACAATATTCGAGCACCACACCGCCAAACAAAAACCCTATCCACTATTTTGTGTCACACTAGAAATACAACCAACTTCCGCACAAACCTAATTGCTCGAACAGACATGTAAATAACAGAAGTTCTGTAAATACTGAGCGCTTGAGTACCTATTACACTCTCATGAGTTATGCAGAGATTGTAGTGGGTCCGCGTGAAAAACCGTGGCACGGCGCGAACCCCTACCGTTAATATTATATGAACTCAGTCTGGGTCTGCGAGGACCCAAGCCCAAGTACAGAGAGAAATCGGCTAGACTCCCGTAAAATCGTATGCACTTTTGAATTTTGAACTTAAAATGTTTGCTAGAGACTGACAGTCAATATTTGTGCGCTTTCAATGTAAGGTAAGTCTCGATACGACAACGTTCTTAAGTTGAGTGTAGTTTAATAATATGTTTGTTGATGTACATAATGTTGGTGAAATCTGTTTTATAACATCTTAGAAAAAATATTGGAATGTTATATTTTAAGCGTAGTTTTACTTTTAAAATAGCTTGATTTATAATATAGTTGGTAGTTCTGAAATAGAAACAATAAAACACATATTGAAAATAACTTACGTATTTCATTGAAGTAGAAAGGAAACTCTCCAGGTATACTGCAATTCAGTCTTGCTTTTAGATAAGTGGCCCAGTTCTGACTCAGTATGTTCTTGCCACCAGTGTCCTTCTTACAAACTCTTGCCACTCGCGAGTAGACTGCTTTGCCACAGTTGATGTACTCCACGGCAGTCTCACGGAAGAAGAATAGAACATAATCCCCAACGTCGAACGACCCAACGAAATTCGGTTCTGGAACAAAATAATACCAATTTAAACTGTCAAACACCAAGCGGTCACCGGTGACCGCGACCTATTGTTCTTTAATTGTGTCTATAAAACCGGTACTCGACGAGTTAATAAAACTGTTTCATGAATAACACAAAGAGACAATGATTTAAAAACTTTCGACACTCAAAAGTTCCAAATAATTGATAGTCACAAGTAAAAGCACTTAAAATTACTCTACTTAAACTAACTTCAGCATCAATTTTAAATAAATAAATAATAAATAGACATTAAAATTTTCATTTAATAATAAAATTAATAGTCGCGTCGCTGTGTTATAATTTCGTTTATTACGAATATAAATTTAGTATATTCTGACAAACGTGCGTTCTCACAATCAGAGTTAATTCCACAGAATCAAATTGCTGTTATTTCATGTGATATGCAATAAATATTAGATGAAGCCGTGGGTGACAATTATGTCACACGGGACGTTTATAGCCAGCATTAATAAGTGCTTATTTGTTGGTCCTATAATGAAAACGCCACGTGGCATGGATTACAGAATACGGACGCACGCCTTACACCCAATATCTCTATTCATATCGTTGAATTATGTCATCTAGCATACGACACAATAGCAGTTACATAAAGCTTAAGGTACAAACTTTAATAAGTAATAAGGTTTCTAAACTTTTAAATTATTACGTCTATAAATTTGGCTTCATTTAATGAATAGTGATGATAAACCCTCTTTTGATGAATGCGTCGTACGTGGCATTATTAGCGATGTCACATAGAATGTCTATTATTACATTATTTAACAGAGGTTTAATGACTAGTTTTAATGCAAGTTTCGGTAACCCAAAACCCATTAGGTTTTGAATAAAATAACGGTTTAATGAGAGTATCGAATTAAATTAATGTCAATATTTACTCATATGGATATGTCCTAATTTTTATTTAGTGAAACATTTCAACGTACACATTAAACAATTTTAAATTCTATACCGTTACGATTAAAATTCAAATTACGTACAAATATATTCAAAACGAATCTTTAACAAATAGAATGAATACCACCAAAAAGGGGAACCAATGAAAATAATTAACTGTTAGTGGCATTTGAAACGTTAGTAATAAGGGCCGAATGTAATGAACAGAGCAATATTAACGAAAATTAGGCAAATTTGTACACAAGCGTAATTTCTATTTCACTGCTACCGTGCCACACAAATTAACGGGTAAAAGGGTTGCTCCCAACTGCTCCTATTATTTGTACCCTATTAAAATCAAAAGCAAATTGTAATAAAAATCTAATCTACGATTGAAATTTACTTATCAATACAATGATTTTATTTAAAGAACGTGCCGTCTTATGTTATATTAAAAAACTTAATAAAACTTTGTGTATCTACGTGTTCGATATTCATGAACGACTTTATAAAGTTAAGTAGATATCTAGTATACCTACATACGAGTATTGAGTGTGTTTGCACATATATTTCTAACTTAGGATTGATTGAACTATATAATATAAAGAATATTATTAATCTCAATATATGAGAAGCCATATTTTAATATTTAATATAGACGTGACAAAAGCAATATGTCTTTATTCTGGAGTGATTTATGCATAGGCCCAAAAGTTTCTTTCATGATAGTAGGTATTTATTTTATTATTTTTTCAATCCAGCAGTTTGCTGCCAGCGCGTTAGACAGAATATATTACCTCTAGAGTGTAAGAGAGAGAGAGAGAGAGTTTACATCGACATGTAAATGAAATGAAATACATTTGAATGGCTGCAACAATATTTGGATTAAACAGGAATAGCTGAGCTCATGGAAGGGAGACACTGATACTCAGTAAAGCGCAAACAGTTTAATTTCGGTAGTTTAATCGCAAACAGGCCAATTTCCGTGTAAATCGTATCGATAATTGTAACATTTGTTCTTATTATTACCAGCTCGCTTTCGGCTTAATGGAAACTCGTTCATTGTTAGGCAGCAATGATTACGCTCATTTTGATATTGATTTAATTTCTATATCGGTATCGACTCGGTCGACTGGCCCACTGTGACTCAGTCAACCTGAAAACATCGATTTGATACTATCGATTTGATATTGATCTATAGTATCGACTCGGTCGACTGGCCCACTGTGACTCAGTCAACCTGAAAACATCGATTTGATACTTAGAAAGGAATGTTGCTCATTAGTCATTAGGCTAGTTACGGAAACCATAATAGCCTTTTTATTATGGCAGCAAATGTTGCCCCAAAAACGTTAAGTATCCACATTGTTCTAGAACAAAAAATATTTTATGTAGGTTTTATTAGCGCCTGCCTACTTACTCCGTTTCGTACTTAATGCTGGAAATAATTGTCTGAATACAACGAAACCATAATAAATCTCACAATAAAATGAAATGGCCTTTTTGTGTTTTAATAGTACAAAGAAAAATAAAGAGGATTTAAATCAATTGTGCTGTAAAAATATTAATACTCACTGTCGAGCCACTTGGAATCGTATTTTAGAGTTCTCTTGAAGGCAAATTCACGCCTGCCCGTCGTCAAGTTATGGAGATCCGTTCTGAAGATGACGGTGTCCGCCTTGGTGAACTCTGCATTAGTGCCAGAGTATAAGGCAGGTAGGCTGCCAGGATTGCCCCTTTCCACCCACAGGGCTGTGGAGTTGTCGGCTGGGTCATATGGGCACTTGGCGACACCCATGCCGATGCCCGGCACGTACTCGTGACGCGGCAGGTGCGTCAAGTTGGACTGTAACAAAAGAAGATTATTGTCTTGAGTGGGTACTTCAAGTGCGTTTCTCTCGAATATTGTGTAAACAGGTGTTGTTTTATGAAATGTGAATAGAACCGAAATACATGACATAGAGAGAATTTCTAAGCGAAACTACTCCGGTATTCAGTAATACAGTAAATTAGACTCCAAAGTAGAAGCTTTAATAGCATGTACATAGGTAATACGATAAACTTGAGTTGCACAATCAGTACAACGTTGTTATTAAATGATTACTTATCGTAACCTTTGTAATTTTGTTTTGAAAGTGTAATTATTTCGCAGCTAATATCCCCCCTGTTTTAAACTGCGTATAAAGTACCTATCTCCACAATTGTTTGTGCATAAGGGTGTGCATTTTGGTGAACACGTTAATTAAACCTTCCAAACACCCCAATTTCCTAAACACCAAAGTAGGGATGTTAGTAGAGGGAGAATAAAAAGTTTCCAAAAATATTAAAATTTCCACGCGTGAGTGTTTCGATTTTATGCGCCATTAATCAAAAATATATCTAAAAAACAAAACGTAACGAGTGAATTTATGCGTTTCAAAGTCAGTAACAGCGCAGTGGCCAGTGGACCGCCCCCGGCTCGTCCCCCGTGCGCTGTGCAACTCAACAACACATCTGCTATTAATTTTTCCAAAAATTTATGTTCGTTTCGCACTGAACGCGATTTATTAACCGAAACTTATTATTTTGAAGGCGGTCGAATTTTTTAGCGTTGCACGGAGCTCGGGAGAATTCCTCTATTAGTATAATGCGATGGGTGGTGGTACGGTTTTCGAAATTATCATAAAATTACTAAATGTAGCATAAACGTGGGGTGGGCAGCAGCGCCCGTCGTCGTGGATTGAGACTTTATGTAAATTTTAACGACGCTGCGACCATCGGGGCCACCTGTGACCCGCCCCTCCCGCGAGCCGCGTCGCCCGCGGCACCTGTCGAAAACCTATGTCGTTTTTATTTCAATAAGCCGAGGATTAAATTAGGCATGCGAAGACGTGCCGGCCCGACCGCCGGAGGGTAAGATTTTCCTCGTTCCTCACTTGTATTCTGACTTTTATCGGAAAACCATTTGTAGCTTTACACGTTATTTAAACTGGACACACGTAAATCGTGTTTGATAATGCCAATAAATCCGCCTTAAGACATTTTACCCCGAGACGGTTGAAATGTCTGAAAAAAGTTGTACAACAATCGCAATGCCAATCATTTTGCGTAGAACTAAATAAAATCCACGCTGACAAATTAAAAAAAAAACTGAACACTAAACATTAAATACCTGTTATTATAATCAAGTTTTATTTTAATATCATAAACAAATATTAGCTCATCAATTTGACCAATAAATATTATAAAAATTGTTCGCCAATTCGTAAATTACCTTAAGATTAAACAGCTTTTTGATATTTCGGCACCCCATGGTTTTCTATACGTCACCGGCACCCCAAGACATTGAAAGCATTTGTTGAACATGATGAAGATCTTTAAGTCATATAAGCAATAAAACCATAACGGTACCAACATGGTACTGACGCTTATTACCAATTGATACAGTAAAATATCACGCTAAATTGGCCAAAGTAAATGAAATGCAAATATTTTAATGGAAATGAAAGCACAATAATAATTCTATAGGACAATATCTAAGGTGTTACCGGTAAACACCATTGGCACACAAAACAACGCACCGAGAAGTTTGCACCAAACTGTGAAGCTCTTTGCGACATTATTTTCCTTTTCAGCATCGAAGTATCCTAAGTCCAGGATAAACAAGCAAATGGTCCGGGCGGAAGGGCCCGCGGCCTCCCTTCGGTTGAATAAGAAAGTTTGTCTGTGGACCCGCAAGCGTCCCTCATTAGGCCTTAGCTTTTGTTTGCACAGCAAATTAGCATCTAGAAGGCTTTTCATTCACAGAATGAAACGTTGACGTCTAATGATGCGAATTGAAAGTTTGGAGGCGAGATTTTGTCTTTGAATTTATGATGGCAATCTATTTTTGTTAAAGATATTAACTGTACGTTGTATTATGTTCAGTGTTTATTGATGTTTACTCCGTGTCTAGACTCTTTATTACATGTAATCGTGCTACAGTGTTTATATTGTGATCAATGTGTTCGCTTAGAACTTGAACATACAATCTCGTTTACCGATTTAATCAATAGGTTTTCTTAGCTTACAGTCTAAAGTTTGCAATTCAGTATCGCTATCAAAATGGTCTAATCGCTTGGAAATATATTTGGAATTGATGTTAACGTTACTCAGTAATTATTTAACAAAATTTCTTCTTTTTTCTGTCTACAAACCAAGGGTTTTGGTAATTTTAACAAAACCAATTATTTGTTTTACATAAATAATACTTGAGCAACTACTAAATTATCGGAACCAACTTTTGTTTGAAACTTTTTAATAGGTTGTCGTTCGTCAATTTTAATTGACACATGACCGCTCACAAAATTGATTTTGATTGTTTTACGTCATATATTTTTCATATAGAAATACTGACAAGCTATAATTTCATGTTCACTGTAACAAGTACATACAAAATTGTATTTAATAATCATTTCATTTATAAATATATAAAAGTTTTTAATCTTCATTTTTATTTCTGGAGTTGCTCATAGGACTCAGGTGCTTTGAATTTGAATTACAATTATAGAACTTATAGTATATTATACTTATAGTATAAACTTGATACTAACAACACATTATCGTCGCAAGAACTAACGTTTAACATTCGTGATAACTTTAAAACTCCCGTTAGTACCAACCAAGATCTAAATTTGTCATTATTACCCTAAAATATGGTTCTCAGTACACGTCGAACTAACTTTCATAGATACGATATACTGTTTAAAAGTTTACAACGTTACTTGAAGTAAAACACGGTAGACAAGAGAATAGTTGGCACCTACAGATACGGCCGTATGATATACGACAATGGCTTCCCGATACATTGTGAATACATACGTTACGTACGTAATATCCTACGGGAAACTTTCGAGACATTCACAACGAGTTTGCAGAGGATGGGTAATGTGTGAATATTTATACAAGAAAGTGGATCGTCGGTTACTTTTAAATTTTCAATGGGGTGTGAAGGTTTATGATTTTTGCGGTGTTTGTTGTTGGATTACGTTGAAAGACATCGCGATTTGGGTTTGTTATAGTACAAATGACGGACGCGAATGTGTTAAATATTGGATTAAATTGTTCAAATGCAGTACTATTACGTATGCTCAATTAAAACCTTAACCAATAACTTAACAATGTATTAATATGGCTAATTAAAATTATCGGACTTCGATGACAGGTAAAAACAAAATAATGTAACAAGCAATACATATAATATTATATTTATCTGAATAGAGTGACTCCTTGATCTAATAGACCATGTAGTATCTAGTAGTATCAAGTAGATCTAATAGATCTAGTAGACCATCTAATAGACCATGTTGTATGAAAAAGAAACTCAATAAGGACATAATGATGAATTACAAGTTTAATAGCCTAGCTCCTAGTTCAACTGATTCTCGATAGCCTTGACTAAAACAAATGACTAAGATTTATCTAGAAAATATGTATCGACATTTTCATAAGGATTGTAGGCAGAAATCTAGGCCAAATATTGTTAGCTGACGATATTTCAATCTGACCTGGATCTGACGTGATACATGTTCTAATCGAGGTTCTAATAGCAGGAATTTACTTGATTGCGTGATTAAGTACACATATTGGATCTTACATAACCATGTAATAATGGGGAATGACGGGTAATTTGTTAATTTAGGTAATTACAGAAATTATGACTCGTTATCGTTATGGGGTTTGGCGGAGTTGAAGATATTTGAAGGACATTATTTTGTTAAGTATATATGTAGATCAAATTCTAAAAATCCTAGCAAAATGTTGATCATCTATTGGAAACCAAACCATAACCTGAAAAATAATTCTTAGTTTGTCTATGGATATTATCTAAATTACTCATGATAGACTAACTTTGCATGTCAAAACAGGTAGGCAAGACTCGATAGTTTTTATTCCAAAGAAAAGAAAGAACACACATAGAAAATTTTTAACACGTGCAAGACAAAGTAATAAACAGAACCTCTACTCCTACAAACTACAAGTAATAAATGAAATCGAAACAATAGACAACGTGTCTCCTCCAAGAGGACTTGAAAGCGACAACTTCAGATAATAACTAGTTACGTGTTTAAACAATAATTACAAGTTGAGAATACGTTACGAGTTGCGACATACATTACGAAAGTTGTCTTTGTCAGTGCGTATATTGGTACGAGTAAGTTTCAAACGCATAAGGGCTCAGGGATTGTTAGGGAGGCAAAGTTTTGACAACCCCGTCACTATCAGTTAATAACCAGCGGGGATGATCTGAATTTATAACGACATATTGCTTTAGATACAACAAATGTATAGCTCTTATATAAATATTAATTTAAATCGAGTTTAATATAAATTGTTTGGAGTTATGCGGTATTTGTCTTTGGTTAAAGCAAGACGAAGATGTCATGTTAAAAGGCAGAGCTAAGACAAATAATTTGTCTGTGGGTTTTTAAAGAATATTGACAAAAATACTCTTTATTTATAACCTACTTACTAGACAAAAACAAATAATGATAAAGAAATATCAAGTCATCTGATATCATACACAATAGGTGGTATAATACCATTGTACGATATCACATTTGCTACAAGTTTCCAACGAATTCTTGATATCTGAGTTCAAAGATTTATTCATTATGTTAAAAAGAAATATTGAGATACTATTTAGAAACTATGCCTAAACAACTTTTACTCAAATACACGTAGGAAAATTTTAGTTCAATGATCTGAATAAATAGCAACTTATAAAAAGTTGCTATTATTACTTATATAAAGTCACTATCGAGATATTTTTATTAATAACTTTGTTACTTGGTATGAATATTTTTTATTACATAGCAACAGTGCCTA